ACATCCCCGCAGTATATATACCACTTTCTAACGCAAAATCAGCATTTACCGTTTTACGCACTTTAAAAAGTTCATTTAATCTTCAATATATTGCCAAATAAATATTCCACACATGTAATTTACGCTAAATGATGTATGTACCCCGCTATAAAGTTTTAAAGTAATATTTTTATTCAATTATGCATAGCAATTCTGTAAGTTGTAAAGAGTTAATGATATTGTTACACACGATCCTCATGGAAATGCCAGAGTTTCCGAAAACTATCGGTCTTACCGGCAAAACCGATAGAAAATCGAAATGTTCACTGAAATTCGCTCTAATAGCAGTCGGTGTGACCAATTGTGGTGAGGGCTTGTCCTTATCAATTTATTGTACTTTAACCTATTGCAATGTCTTCATACCATAAGCAAATATTTCAAAACATACCTTTGATACATGTAACTAAGGTTTTATTATGAATTGAATTTTATATACAATTGCTAAAAGAAAATAAAGTCAGTTCAATTAATCAAATTTGGAGATCTTTGAAAGTTAAGTATAAAAGATGTAATTCTCATCAAGGAATGAAGCTTATTTTGAACTTATGTTATCCGATATAACATAACTTGGGGCAATTTACGTTTTATAAACCGCGAAGCGTTTATAAATAAGCGTAAACTGGCCCAAGTTTTGATAAATCGGATTCAATGTAGACAATGAGACAATATTTTCTCTAGAAAAAGGCTTCAAAGTGAGCATTTTTTTAAAAGTAACATCAAGCGGAGTGATACGTTTTTGACGTAACTCATTGTGACGTAGGCAAGTTATGTTATACAAAATGGATAAAACCGTTAAAACCAATCAAATGATGCGTTACAACTGAAATTAAATTATTTATATTTAACATCAACGGGACTCAAAATCAGTTCGCTTTATCCGTAAATTCGTTATAATTCGTTATATCAGTATTTTTTATTAGAGAGATTTGCATTTATAAGAACGTCAATTTTAATAAAATGGTGAACAACTGCTTTTCTGATTACTAAAACATGGTTTTATAACATGGTTATGATCATTTTATAACACGGCGTTTTGTAAAACCGACATAACTTTGTTTGAAATCTTTTTTAACGACTAAAAAGCACGAAACTGAGACAGATCACAATGAAATCAAACTTCTCAATTCTAAACAAGTGTATTTCTTATTTCCGTATTTTTCTAATAGCAAAACGTGAGACGTATTTTAGACTAAAAATACGGTGAAGTCGTAAGAGTAAACAGGTCTGGTGTTTGCTATAACCAAAAAATTTTACAAAGATTTGTTAAGAATTTTGCACTATATCTGTGTTCACACTGTACAATGTATATCCTAGTAAAATTTATTCGGACTGGTATAACACATTAAGTCATCAGTCCGAATGACTGATAGAAATATTTGGTTTTCGGAAACTCTGAAATGCTAGGCCTAATACACTGTATATTACAGATTTTCCATCCTGCCTCAATCACAGGCACCTGAATTTTTATCTATAAGTCGTTTGTTAAAAATATAGAAGGAGTAGTCTAGAATTTTTGAATATTTGGCTTTAATATTTAGCGACTTATTGATAAAAATCAGGTTCATGTGCCTCAAAAGGAAGAATAACTTATTATGCACACAGAGTTTATCTGGGTCATATACTTACTGTTATTGTATATTTTGTCAGAAAAATCAATGAAAATAGAAATACAAATGGTGATTCATGGATGTTATCAATATTATTCCGCCAAAATTCTGCCAGAATTTCAAGACTGGAAACGAAGGGAGCGCTGTATAAGTTAAAATGAACATAGTAGCGTCGAAAATTCCGGAATATATTGAGATTTTGATCAGTCTGAATAAAATCAGATCTTTGTTACGCTCCAAAATTCTAACAAAGATATTTGAAAGATCGAACTCATTTCAAGAATGATCATGAACAACCAAATATGTGTAATTCAATTTCATTGATCGGCAGGGGATGGACCCCCCCCCTCCCGTCCCACACATAAGCACGATTGGCTTAGGGGTATATAACACTGTATAACTCAGGGTAGGACCACCCCCCCCCCCACCCCCACCCCCGGCTGAGTTGAATCTGGTAGAGGAAGTCTCTCTAGAGATAATAATGTTTAATGTATACATGTATTTATATTTCCAAATATTTCCCCCCTTAGGATGCTTTGCAAAGTAGAAAAAAAGGTTTCTAATAAACTAACTTAAGATGAATAGTAGTTTTTAAAAAAAAAAATTATCGTAAAATGACAAAAATATAGCAAATCTTTAGAAAAAGAATGCAATTATTACAATATACATGTATAATTTAATTTGAGTTGTGACACGTCATTTGCATGATTGGTTAAACGGATTTATCCATTTTGTATAACATAACTTGCCTACGTCACAATGAGTTACGTCACAAACGTATTATTCCACTTGACGTTTGTTTGTAAGGATATGCTATATTTGAAGCCTGAAAATGGAAAAATTGTCTCATTGTCTACATTGAAATTAAATTATAAGGAATGAAGCTTTTTTCAGCTTAATATGTTATACGATATAACAGAACTTTACGGGGCAGTTTACGCCTTTTTATAAACCGCTTCGTAAACTGCCCCAAGTTATGTTATATATCGCTTCATTCCTTAAATGAATTCAATACTTGAGAATTTATGAGGTACATGAACTACAAAGCTTCACGCCAGCATACAGTATATTTACCATATCGATCATTGATAATGCGCGAATGAACTTCATGAAATGTGCAGGCGTGGAGCGTGGTAGTTCATGTCCTCATGAATTTTCAAAAATTAAATTCATTTCTAAAATCAGTACCATGTAGGTCTCATTCCTTATACGTTAACGGATTGTATCTCTCTCTCTCTCTCTCTCTCTCTCTCTCTCTCTCTCTCTCTCTCTCTCTCTCTCTCTCTCTCTCTCTCTCTCTCTCATTTACACTCATACAGTATACTAGTACATATATGTATACACAGGCACCTGGCGTTAAGTTTTTTTCTTTTAATAAAAAATATACCTATTCCTAATGTTTATTTAAGGAATGAAGCTTATGTTTTATATAATATAAAGTTTAGCTTTATAAACCGCTTCGCGGTTTATAAGAAAGCGTAAACTGTCCCAAGTTTTGTTATATCGGATAACATAAGTTGAAATAAGCTTCATTCCTTATCATTTAATTTTAGTGTAGACAATGAGACAATATTTCCTCCGGAAAAAGGCTTCAAATTGAGCAATATTTTAAAAGTAACGTTAAGCGGAGTGATACGTTTTTGACGTAACTCATTGTGACGTAGGCAAGTTATGTTATACGAAATGAAAAAAACGTTTAACAAATCAAATGACGTGTTACAATTGAAATTAAATTATTATTAGATATGGGTATATTCTTTTTATTAAAAGAAAAAGAAGTAACGTCAAGTGCCTGTGCATACATTATAACAGTAGAAAACCATAAATTCCTATCAGCATTTTTTTCCAAAATGCTGAACTTACAATTTATAAATCATTTATTTTTTCCCCGAAGAAGATGATCGATCAATCTTTTTGCATATTTTTACTTATCAAAATAGATAATGACTTGTGACAATGTATTACATTACACGACATATAAAATTCACGTATGAACTCTAGGACGAACTGGATTTCTTAAAGATCAAACTATAGATCAATACTATGACATTGTTTATAAATATTCCAAATTTGTAAGTGACCTATATTTTGTTTACTTCATTGAATGATTGATTATCATTTTAGTTCCTTGTATACGAGGAACTGTTAAAATGTTTTAGTATAATTGCCTACGTTTTGAATTTTATTTCTTATTAATTGTTTAGGGTCATCTCGCACGTACTTGACGAAACTTATTTTCTTTTTTCTTTTAAATAAACCACCATACCTAATAATACGCCTAGCGTACGTATATTACTGTAAATCACTTTTTCATGCGCGCTCGAGAACTTTATTTTCGCGGTATAACTAGAGTCGTCTGCGCGCGAAAATTTAATTCTCGCGAATACTGGCACTGTCAAGGATTCTATGCAACAAAAAGCACAACTCACGAAAAAATTGTTTCGTGTAATATGTAAATACTAAATAACTATCTCGGGAAACTAATATATGTCGCGAAAATAAAGTGAATATTATTTTTATAAGAAAATTAGTATTTTTTTTTCAGTGTATATGTTTCATATAGTCAGTTAATAAATTCATTCTATTTATGGAAACATTTTTTGTTAACAGGTATATAGAGTTCATGCAGTTTTTTTTTAAATGTTATTTAAAAATTAATTGTACTTTACAGATTTACAATGTGTCAGCATAAATACATGTACCTATTTAACCTTTCAATATATGTACAACTGATTCCCTGCCATATATCGAAGATTTTTTGATGGCTCAACCATTGATAGATGTGTTGTGTCGAATTATGTAAAAAACTCATATACGATAATTTTTTTCATTTAAAGTTGATAGCTGAAGTATCATTTGAAATGGATAAAAAAAACGTACTCTTTATTCGTTTAAGTTATATACCCCCCCATCCCCCCCCCCTTTCTCCCTGTCTTTTCGTGAAACAACAAAAACTCTTTAAGTATATCAGTAGGGTCTATTTAAATTTTGTTTGTTCTAAATACAACGTCAAAAAATTTCATCGATCCTCTCTATTCGTTGCCAAATAAACTAGATCTACTTTTCATTATTTATATGTACGTATTTCCTCAAGTCCATTTGTTTTATGTTATAATTGTTTTAATAACCACAAAATTTTAATGTTGATTATAACTTGTCACTATTAATCACTCTCATCAATTTTCTTTGACAGTTTATTCCTTATGAAATGCGCAAAGGCGCGGATCGTACTTGTGTATACGTAACAAAACTTTTAATATATTGCAATGATTAATCACTTTTGCGTGAAATTAAATCTACATATTGTTATAAAATCAACCCAATTATTTTATATAACTTCACTTGGTGTGAGGTGTCCAAAATATACACAGTAAGTTTATGTATTTCATATATACATTTATCGTATTGTTTCTTCTTTGAAGTGTTGCATTTTTACTCTTTCTTTGTACATATAATGTTTACTGTGAATGTAAAAGCTATTAAAATTATAAAAATATAAAGGAGTTTGATAAATATTGATTTCCCGGATTAACAAGATTCATTTTATTATGCTTTACTTGCTCCAACAAAAAAGACACATAGGAAGCATTAATTTCAACTAAGATTTTTTTTTTAAAGAGTAACTGCAATATAATAAACTTTTGAAAAACAACATACTTACATTATCGCGCATTCAGCATTAATATGATGTTCACTTACAAGTGTCTTTTATCAATTTTCAATCTAAAATTGAAAATTACCTGACATTCTTACAAATGTATACTTTGAACTAATTTAATTAATAAAAAAACATGTAAACGGAGTACCAAGTAAAAACTGTGATTTACAGTCAAACCTTGCATGTCATTTTGGTGTAGTTCAATATCATAATACGGATGTGACCGCCGTAAAGATAACATCGTCTGATCTTCATTATTTTCTTTCTTGTAAATAATAACTGACAGTGGACCCTCGTTTTTTCTGGGTTTTTTTTTTATTTTTTTTTTTTTTTTTTTTTTTTTTTTTTTTTTTTTTTTTTTTTTTTTTTTTTTTTTTTTTTTTTTTTTTTTTTTTTTTTTTTTGGTTTTGTTTTGCTTGTCAAGATTTTCTGTTAAGTTTTGTTCCTTTCTCTTACTCAAATTGTTTTCCTGAATTACAGGCAGAAAAAAAAATGTCTGAGATTTCGAGATATTGGGGGAAATCCATGGTGTTCTACTTATATACATGCACCAGAAACTTAAACTGTGTATATTATAACTTTTTCTTCTTCCATATATAGTTGAGAACACAACCAATCGTCTGCATGCCTTTCCTCTCTGTCTATGACGTCATTTCCGTAGAATTCGAGATAAGGAAATTGATCTGTATTTATGCGTGTCCTTTCTAATTTCTCCTTTTTTTTCTTTTTTTTCGATAGATGAGGACCCAACCAATAGCCTGCCTCGTTCTCTGTCTCCTACTGGTGACCCCTGTGACGTCACAAGGAGGGCAGCTTTTGGGAGGTCTAGTTGGAGGAGCACTAGGACATCAGGTAAATTTGAATTTTTTTCTTCAAACGAAGCAATTGTAGTTCTCTGCCAAGGAAACGGAGCGAAAATAACCTTGATTCACATTTTATTAGAATTCTACTCTATTTGAATAATGTTTTTGAGGTCAGAGTATTCTTATTTGAAGCTATATAAATATCTTTTTAGTCAGACTTTAAGGTAGGATTCTTCTCTGGTTTCTGACTAGATGGAATATTCAAAGTACATTTGTTGATATGTCTTATATATTTAGATGTAAGAGATTCAAAAGACCATATTTTTCTTTCCTTATCACAATTATACAACTTTAAATAGAAATGGTTAACTTCGTTTGAAAATTATCAGGGACTATATTTTTGGCGGAATGGTGGCGTATGAAAATATTTTCTTTTCTGCCTCTCAAAATTATTATAGAACATTGAATTTAGTTATAATTTTTACGCAATCAAAGACTAGACGAAATTTTCAAATGTAAGTTAAATTAATAATAAGGGACTAAAGTTTCAAAATATATATAGAATAAATAAGATTTTTCACACGTAGTGGAACTATGTTGGCTTTTAAATGCTTCAAATCTAAGTACAGAATTGAGCCAAAAATCCGTAAAAAGTGTTATTTCTCTCTTAGTAAACGATCAAACTTTTAGTTTTTGTATCATCTTGTACATTTATGTAACAACTTTACTATATGTGAAAATTAGAAAAGGTTAAATATAGGAAGCATATAAAAATAACTAATAAATCGTAAAAATTTAAGAAAAGTAGAGGAAATTCGGAATAGCAAATATCCATTTTATTTAAATCATCCATGTCAATTTGGTAATATCGGTTGTACTTTATGTATTACATGCGTAGTTATAATTTTAATTTTTGTTAATTGCACATCTCTGATCTTATAGGCCCTAAATGGTGGTATCTTTTTATGTAAAAAGAAAAACATTCAGCCTTTTGAATTACAGGTAGGGATCGCATGATTGGAAACAGTAATTTTTTTTATTCTTAATGTCCAGGAAAAAGGTAATCACCTTGACCTGACCTTGCTTCTTACATTAAACGGTCAAATTTAATCTCACTGATACCATCACTTAGTGGTATTGTCTTCTTGATTCTGTGAAAATTTCATAAATTTTTAAATACAAGAAGAATCCTACCTTAATTCTATTTATTTCTTGCAGTTTTATAAGGCTTCTACTCTGTTTGAATACTAGTAATGTTTTGATGTCAGTGTATACTTATTTGAAGCTATATAAATATTTTTTTAGTCAGACTCTAATTCTATGTATTTTTTGCAGCTAACGGGCGGCCATCCATTAGGAGCTGTTGTGGGCGGAGTCCTAGGTTCCCAGTTTTTCGGTAGGCGGGGAAGAGGTCGATGGAGAGGCGGATGGGACCGAGACAGGTGGGGCGGAGGCGGATGGGGCCGAGGCCGACGTGGGCGAGGTGGATGGGGCGGACGTAGAGGGCGCGGGGGATGGCGCGGTCGTCGCGGCAGAAGAGATTGGGACTGGTGATAGATAGTTTGGAATCATTCGATGTTTGAAGACGAGGAAAATGGTGTGCGCTTGTGTATCAATTATTTAAAGAATAAATCAATTGAATGGATTTTTTTTAACGTGTCAAACATGTTTTCTGCATTAATTAAGAGCATTATTTGCTTACCGGTATATTGCAATCTGATTAAAATCAGATCCTTTAATTTTATCCGCTCGTAGCGATCTATGTGAGCTGATCAAAAGACCTGATTTTAATCAGATTGCGGTATATTGCAGATTTAGAAATGTTTCCAAAGGCTACTGACAAAGTTGATGTTACAATATGTTTTTAACAACTCTGTTTAAAGTCAGCATTTTGCAAAAATTATGGTCATTATATATATAATGACCTTATTCGTAAAAAATTGAACAGCATCATGCAAGTTGTTCGTTTTTATCTTGCATGATTGATACCATTTGCAAGATTATATTGTTTTCATGCCCCCGTAATCGAAGATTCGGGGGTAAAGAGAATTCGCCCTGTCCGTCCGTCTATCTATAGCTGTCCGTTTGTCCGCAACCTTTAACCTTGCCCATAACTTTTGACTAGATGGGCCTATGGTTTATATATTTTACGAGTGTATTTCTTGTGACAAGACCTTTCTTTGGGTATCACCAAATTCGACCTTTTGACATTGACCTTGGAGTTTGGCATATTTTACACAAAAATTTCAAAATTTTACTTTGCCCATACTTTTTGAGCGGTTGGTTCTAGGAATTGCGTACTTCATATGTGTAGTCTTTGTGGCAAGACCTTCCATAGAATATAAACAACTTTGACCTTGACCTTGGACTTTGACCTACCTTACTTACCTTGGCCATAAGTTTTGAGCAGGTGGTGCTAGGGCTTTCATATTTCACAGTCGTAGTTCTTGTGAGAAGGTCTTAATTTGGTTACCAAAATATTTGATTTGCATTTGAGAAAATTTAACCCTTCGCTATATTGCCATACGGGGGCATCACTGCCGCATCAGTGTTTCACAAAAAGATCTTTTTAAATTCGTATTGTACACACAAGTCCCCCAATCGAAAATGATGCTTAAAAGAATCTTTGAAGTTTTGATTGGCAATATCTACGAAATTTTTATAGATGTGCTTCCAATGATATCTTTGCATTCCAATGGATATTGTTTGTGTCCTGTTATTAGCAAACTTATAAAGCAGAATATATTTAAAAAATTAAACTACGACATGATTGGAAATAAGTATCCTGTTGTGACATTTTACTTCGACGTATACCAGTGGTTGTATCGACTATGTTTTATCTGTTATATTCATGTATTTATCAATCCTAGTTTGATTCAGTATTTAATATTTTGAACACAAAATAAAAGCCACCTCTGACTCTGCCACGTTTCTTTTTGCTTGTCAAGTTTTTCGGGAAAGTTGATTTTTTTTCCTGCCTCTCTTGTTTTATTCAAAAAGGATGCTACGTCCATGAAAGCATCCTCTAACAAAACCATCTCAAGTGGATCAAGGGCATTGATTACAATGCTACTTACAAAGAAGTTGATGCTAAAGGGCTTCCTGTAGTCTTGCTTTAAAATCATCAAACACCACCTATACGGCAACCACCTTGCAGAGTTGTTCTTCGTAATAATCTCTCAAAACCTCTGCAATTAATATTCTTGACACTGTGTAATAAAGAGTGTTATTCCAATAATCGATCATTTCGAATGAAACCAACTGCTATCAATCTTCTTGATAAATACATGTATATACCTTAAACAAAATTAGCACGTACAGGCAATGGATAAGATTGAAATCAATGTAAACTTTTGTTTATTTACATATATATAATGTAATGAACTTGTACAGAGCTTGGTGAATGTAAGAGAGTCGAAACGGAATTAAGCTAGTACAATGTATACAGTTTCCCTTTATATATATACTGTATACAGGGAAATTTTCGCCCCCGTTTTATTTTCGCCCCATTCGCCCTACCATCATTGGAGCGAATTTAAAACGGGGCGAAATGAAATAATACAGTATATTTTTTTAATAAAACTATGATTGGGCGAATTTAAAACGGGGCAAAATTGTTTGCAAGTGTAAAAGGGCGAAAATAACCCTGTATACAGCAGGACTTAGATTGAAAGAAGGAATGACTTGATATAAAATTAGAAATTCATAGATGCAGATACTGGTAGATCACATGTTGTACTGTTGTATACAATTAAAAAAAACATATGCCTGCATGGACTGGAAATCGAACCCGGTACCCTTGCATTACTGTACTACTACATGTAGACAGAATGGTTTTGTCCTACGAACCCGGTTTAACAATATGTGGTGAGGGCTTATGTTGAGATTATTCTAACTATATTAGTCAGTGTTCTTATCAGTGGACTATATCCAGGCTAATGTCCTCTGTCAGTCTGAATTCTTGAAAATCACCTTCCATTTTTGGGGGGTGTTTCGAGCACGTATGCATGTAACTAATTCTCACTCTTGCAATAGATATCGGTTTATGGATTCATCTTTTTTTCTGTACCGGACAATGGGGGGGGGGGGGGTCAAAGGCTTCTAAATAACTAATATTCTACCTATAATTCTAACCCAGTAAATTTTAAGATCCCTCCCTCAAAACTGCAGACATTAATTGCTTCCGCACGTCTCCCAGGGGAAGAATCACAGATTAATGTTAATTCGGCTTTTATTGAGTTTGCTATACGGAGAGAATGCTAAGGTCTTCTTGGCATGACATTCTCCGAAACACATTTGTCACCTGAAAATTACACTTCATCCAAACACTTTCTCTTTTAAGGAATACTGATGTGACCGACCATGAGTAGACCAATCGACGTTGCATTTCAATAAAATTAATTGTCTGTTCTCTGAATCCATAGCTCTAGTTCTGTCATCTCTTTTTTCTAAACCTGTCATGTAGCAACTCATTTATTAATTTAACTGTGTGTCTTTAACGAGGAACACTTCTGCAGAAGGATTAATGTTAAAATCAGACAGGTTCGATCGACGTGGTGGCCAAATAATATTCGGATGGTAGAGTTTCTGACAAGGTTTTGAATGTTAGAAGTAACCCCGGCCTGGTGACCCGTCGCATTTCCTCAGTCTCTTCCTTTAATTTAAACAATATTTTATTCACAGATGTTGTCGTGAATAGGATTGGGCAGCAGGCGCAGCCTATTTTAGCCCTCTCCCTACATTTAGGTCAAGGTACAGAACAAATAGTGATATTAAAAGAATGTACAAAAGAAGAAAAAAAACACAAACAAAATTGAACAAAGTAACAGAGAAAAAAAAACAGAAAAAGTCATATGTAGAAAATTAAACAAAAGAGAAAAATAGAATGAACAAAATAACAAAAAGGGAAAATTACAGGGGGAGACAAAATACAAAGTAGTACCGGTTTGGGAGTACTTCTAACAAATAAAAATTATATCTATATATAGATATGACAGTGTTTATATAAAACGTTTTGTTGCTGCTATAAATGTATGTACAGCTTCAAATATTTGTATATTAATGTCAAGTCCATGGTTAGAACTACCATTTAAAAATAAATCACATTCGGGGATATTATCACAGCTTATAATATTATGTGTTGATTGAAAGAGTACATCTCTTGGAATTGTATATTTAGGACAAACAATAAAGTAATGATAGGCATTTTCAATACAATCAGTACAATGTTCACACATTGGAGTTTCAGCTAAATGTTGATTATATAAATCTGCTTTCAGATTACTAGCATTATTCCTTATCTGGCAATGTATTATATTATACTTTCTTTTTCCAAAATTAAAAAGTTCAATACTTTTCCTACAGAAATGAGATTTTAAAAGACTTTTGAATGAACATATTCCTGGAGCATTTTTAATATAATTTGGCAAGGTATTCCATTGTTTGACTGTAGAGGGGAGAAAACTTCCTTTACCACTGCCAGTGCCTCTTTCAACGCTATCATCAAAGAAAAAAATGTATAATTAGTTATTAATAAGTCTCAGATTTATAATAGGATATACATGTACGACCAATACGATAACTTTTTTTTAATTTGCTATTCATTTTCAAATTGTTTCTATCTGCAGCTACATGTATACATGTATAAACAATCGCAAACCATCATTTCAAAGCTATTTGAAAGAGGGGAGAGTGTGAAATCAAAGAACCACAGAACACTAAATGCTTGTACATGTAGTTATAAATATTTCTTTTTCAAGTTTTACAATTTATTCATAGGAAAATCACTGATGTTATAAGCTATAATCCCTACAATGCTATATTCCTCTTTTGAAGGGAACGTGCATGTGGGCTCGACTGAAAAGTCAGATTGTCGAGAAAGAGTTGGATTCATTACAATGTACCCTAATTTTAGACTTCTAATTATATAGATAATCAATGCTGAGAACAAGAGTAGCATTTGGGCAGATATGGCATCGCTTGTATTGGACGGCGCTGTTTTCAAATCCCTTACAAAACTAGGCTACATCCTATTGTAATGTATTTGGTATTTCAACTAATAAAAAGAGGCCGGGTAAAGGGTTTCCAGAAAAAAGTACCAAAAAAGAGAGAATAGTTCAGAATCTCACTGAATGAAGGGGGTCTTTTTGTTTGGCCTCATAATTATTAGGAAAATGATATTCGTCAAACGCTTGTAACACACCCTTGGTGCACTGACGTCATTTGATATAATTATGACGTAATAATCTAATAGATCTGTGTTCGAGATAAATCAATGAGTAAATTGCAAAAAGTAGCACAATTTCTTTGTACTTGCCAGAGACAAGTCAGCATTGTTCAGGTGGGTAAAAATAGCGTTCTTGAATATTTTTTTGATGATTTCTATTATAATTACATGAGCTTTCCTTTTTCACTCTCTTCATTTACGATAACTCTACCGAAAGAGTTTTCCATATTACTTTCTTATTAACCTTTTTTTTCAAATGAAAATAATTATCCCTCTTTATTCCGGAGAAAGATATTCCTGCCCAGAGTTTAAAAATAGTCTTCCCGGAAATTAAAAAGAAAAGAAAAAAAGGTGAAGGTCAAGTTGTCTGAAGGTGATCGAAAGCGGTAGCATTCTAATTTCTGCAGTGTTTTGACGAGTATTGCAGCTTGTCAAGGTAAAATACTTTAAGAACTTTACTCAAATATTCAGATTCCAAACGGGAAACCCTTGCATTAGACCGCTTTATGTTAAAAAGATATGGGAACTAGCCTAAACCAGTTAAACCATTGATCACTAAATGAATGCATGGTTCTGCATATTTTAATTCATTTGAAACAACTTGAAAGAAAGTGCAAAAATTACAATTGAATCAGGCTGCTATTCTTAAGTTTGGATCCTAAGCTGAGGTATAATATAGGGCGCGACATAGAACAATTTTTATTTTGTTTTTGGTTAAGTTTGAACAACAGTGAACACGCTGAAATGTGTCTTTCCTCTGAAAGTATAAATGAGTGCATATTCTTGGGGAGGGGGTACTCCGTGTAATGCTAGTAAGAAACCTTGGGTTATTATTGTACTATGTGTATACTCCAGTTTATTACCGAAACAAGTGCCTGTGATTTTACGACCAAGAAAAGATTATGGTGGGGTCACTGGGGGAAGAGGGATTTGTGTACCACCAAAATCCCCAGCAGGTCCAGGGTACTGCTCCTGGGGATTATAATTTTGTTCCATTTAAGCAACATTCCAGGGGTAGGAGCTACCAATGGTCTCCCAGCCTATGGATGTCTTTTCTCTAATCTCTGAGTTGACTCTGATCTGCTGACACAAATACAGAAAGCATACAGTTAAATTATAAAGCTAAAGCTGTATTAATTATTAATACCTTATTATTAACCTACAGAGGTTCTGATTTGCTAAATAGCTGGAAAATTGTCAGGGACATCTACATACCGTGATGTCATTTGGTCCTATGTCAAGATTACAATTTATGTGGGCATTTCAACTGTAAATTGTAGCAGCTTTAGAGCTTCAATGTGTTGACTTTATCATTGCAAGGTTACAAAACTACATGCAATTACAGGGATTAATCTTTGGCATATATTTTTAGCTCACCTGAGCCAAAGGCTCAAGTGAGCTTTTCTGATCACATTTTGTCCGGCGTCCGTCTGTCCGTCTGTCTGTCCGTCTGTCTGTCTGTCTGTAAACTTTTCACATTCGACTTCTTCTCAAGAACCGCTGGGCCAATTTCAACCAAACTTGCCACAAAGTATCCTTGGGTAAAGGGGATTCAAGTTTGTTCAAATGAAGGGCCACGCCCTCATTCAAGGGGAGATAATTGGGAATTAACGAAAATTTGGTGGCATGTTTTAAAAATCTTCTTCTCAAGAACCACTGTGCCAGGAAAGATGAAACTTATGGGGAAACATCTTCAGGTAGTGTAGATTCAAGTTTGTTCAAATCATGACCCCCAGGGGTAGGGCGGGGCCAAAATGGCCGACCAAAGTTTTACATAGAAATATATAGGAAAATTCTTTAAAAAATCTTCTCCTCAAGAATAGCAAAGCCATAATTGATCATATTTATATGGAAGCATCCTCAGGTAGGGTAGATTCAAGTTTGTTCAAATCATGACCCCCAGGGGTAGGGCGGGGCCAAAATAGCCGACCAAAGTTTTACATAGAAATATATAGGAAAATTCTTTAAAAAATCTTCTCCTCAAGAATAGCAAAGCCATAATTGATCATATTTATATGGAAGCATCCTCAGGTAGGGTAGATTCAAGTTTGTTCAAATCATGACCCAAAGGGGTTGGGCGGGGCCAAAATGGCCGACCAAAGTTTTACATAGAAATATATAGGAAAATTCTTTAAAAATCATCTTCTCAAGAATAGCAAAGCCATAATTGATCATATTTATATGGAAGCATCCTCAGGTAGGGTAAATTTAAATTTGTTCAAATCATGACCCCCAGGGGTAGGGTGGGGCAAAAATGGCCAACTCAAAGTTTTACATAGAAATATATAGGAAAATTCTTTAAAAATCATCTTCTCAAGAATAGCAAAGCCATAATTAATCATATTTATATGGAACCATCCTCAGGTAGTGTAGATTCAAGTTTGTTCAAATCATGACCCCCAGGGGTAGGGCGGGGCCAAAATGGCCGACCAAAGTTTTACATAGAAATATATAGGAAAATTCTTTAAAAATCTTCTCCTTAAGAACAACAAAGCCATAATTGATCATATTTATATGGAAGCATCCTCAGGTAGTGTAGATTCAAGTTTGTTCAAATCATGACCCCCAGGGCTTGGGTGGGGCCAAAATTGCCGACCAAAGTTTTACATAGAAATGTATAGGAAAATTCTTTAAAAATCAGCAAAGCCATGATTGGTCATGGGACTACTTTTGGATTTAAGCTTTTCAAGTATAAACCAATTTTGCTTTTTCCTAGCCACAGTGCTCAGGTGAGCAAGGTGGCCCATGGGCCTCTTGTTTTTAATTTACTACCAATATTCAGTATTTTTCCCCAAGGGAATATTTCCCCTAAATAATCCATTTTTCCATTCTGATGAGTAAAAAATTCCCAAGGCAATGATAAGAAGCTCATTGACAAATATTTGTTTTCCTTTGTAAAAGGTGGAAATTTAAAGTAAAAAGGTTCAGAAGATGTGAAATATGGTTTTACTTTGCTATTTTATGCACTCTAAATGGTCATTAAGGCCATAATAAAAATATTCCTAGATTCTCATCCCCGCCCACCCCGATTTTATACCCCCGCCTCGATTTTTTGAGTTGGCTCGCGTAGCGAGCTACTCCCTGTCAACATAGCCGTTTCAGAGCTGTAAAATTTATCACGCATTCATCAAGGTGATCCATACGCCAAATATTATAGTTCTAGCAAAAAATGCTTAAAATTGATTTGAGTGATTGTATAAACTTTGTATAAAATAATAAAATTTATAAAAGGTAAAAACTGTATAAAATTTCCTACTGTAACATTATTTATGCCTTCATGCTTTTAAAGAAATTTTTTATTAAATATCTGTATGATGTACAATTACTGCGTATGAATATATGTTCAAGCATGTTAGGCGGATCTAATCTTTCCATCTGAAGTTTATTTATAATTGACCTAGAATACTCCCTAACACAAACACCTGCTGCTCTCATTAGCTGCAGCTAGTTGTTGTTGAAAATCTATTTTTAGAATCCAGATTTGCTGTAACACTGACCACTTCAGCTAATGTGCTGAAATTCATTATAGAATCCAGTCACTATAATACGGAAGCCCATTAGTGCCAACCTGTTTATATAAATGTAAAGCAATATACACTTTATTTATGAACCGAACATGGATCAGACATATAATATTCAATCTCTTAAGATGCAAAATAAACTGAATATATTAAGGTATGGTGCCCAGATGTGAAAAAGCTCAATTGACTCGAGCGAGTCAACTCGCAGGCCCTTCAGGCCTTTGATTTTTATTTCTGTTTTTCTTCACCTTAATTCTGATCGGAATCGGTATTCATCTAACATTCTACTTTCGATTTAAATCCTGCGAAAGTAGACATGATTTTGATAACTGGAAAGATGGTAATTGCTGTAATACATGCGTATATATTTTAATTAAACAAGGGTCATTGGTTGAAAAAGGTTGGTGATGATGTGAAGTAAGAGATAATTGAACCTTTACTATGACTTTTATTCGGGTATTATGGGTAAAATTACACGTATTGACCAGGTCAATAAAAAATCTGCAAAATTGAAAAAATAAAAAATATAAAATAAAAGGCGCCCGCCCGCCTTGATTTTTAAAAAAATTCGGATGAGAATCTAGCAATTTATTTATTATGGCCTAAAATGAGGAACTTCAGTTGGGACCCCAAATTGTGCCTGCCCTGCACGACTGAGGGGTCTTGAGTGGCCCCCAGGACCCCAGCTGATTTTCCCAATTTCTCCAGAAAGGGTGGTTTCCCCCAAAACCTAAATTAATCCCTTCAATTGTTTATGACAGTTAAAATGTGACATAACACTATTATCAGGATTATACATATGTATGATAATTTTAGGTGTGCAAAAGGATTTTCCATAAATATAAATAAATTTTAGGACAAATAGGATGTGTGGTAGGTTAAGGTAGATGTTGTCTTCAAAGATATTATCTAAAAGTACTGTTCACATGAGTCAGAGTATTGAATAGATCATATTAAGATATTAATATAAGTTTACATGTTTGTTGAAAAAATACACTTGTACAGGAAGTAGTTTCTCTCTTTTGGAGTTTGTTCATACATGCTATACAAACAAACCTTGAAGGTAAACCACTTAATATAAACAGAAATATTCTCATCTATTCTATGTATCTTATTTACTTAGTTTTTTTTTCCTTTCCTTTTTTTTTTTAAAAACTGGTATGGAGATGCCACCATTTAAAGGTGGAGAGCTGCAAATTAAGACCAGTCCACTGTATTTAAGGAGGGACTTTTTTTTGCGTCAGCACCTGTTGAAAAAATATCTGGTTTTCATGGATACGTGTTAGACATTATATCCCAAATCCACATTAAGTATGCCATTACAGTAAAACATATTTCAGTGTAAAAGCTGTGACCCTGCATGTAAATCCAATTGGGAAGAAAGGACATCTAAAATCAGTGACAGTAAAATATAAAAAAAATAATAATTTCTTTTTTCCTGTTACAGATGGCACAACACCTTGCAAAGACCCAGGGAAGTGGGGTGAGTGTTCTGCAGTATTGATTAATTCGTGATTGTCTAAGTTCTGTATTTGATGCTTTTGTGTTTGAGCTCATACAGTTTGTGTTAGCTCGATTCTTGTTCTAAATCGTGTGTTAATTTTGAGATTTTTGCAAATGGTTAAAATTTGGTGCCTCTAACAATTATTGTCATTAAAATTAAATGGGACTTTTTCGTTGAAAGAAAATGTGTTGTGCTAGCTCAAATAAGAGAAGTTTACATGATGTCAACATGGAAATACACAACACCTAAAGTAGGATCGAGTCACAGGATATGACAAAGACTTGTTTGCTAGGGAAAAAAAAACATTTCCCTGCCTTTCCTCTGATTTTTTTAAGTTAACTTACAATATATTAATTTTTTTTTTAAATTTTTAATATAATATAATGATAATGAATTGAAACTTTTTTTAATTTGATTTATAATATACATAATTAAAAATTAAAGTAAAAGAACTGGAACTAATTTTTTTAAAATATATATGTTTAATTGACATATTATATACATGTATGTATATCCAGAGTTTTTTTTTTTTTTTTTTATATTACAATGTAGCATAGTTAGAGGTACATGAATATGATGAAAACATTCTTATTTTTAGCAATAAACCAGTCAAAATGTGTGTACAGTCACATGCTTTTGACACAGTCAGCATGGTCAGTGCAAATCATATGAATTCGTAAAATTTTTAAAATAATTAATTAAATAAATGTACATTTCAGGAAATCCCTGTTATCATAGAGCCAGAGGTTTGAACATTATGTTAAATAGCTTTATAACTTGTGCATATTTAAAATTAAAGGAGACAATCTTCTTTTGTGTTTTATACAAGTCATATGTAGTCTTGACTTGTGCAATATAGATGTTCTGTTTATACATACATGTATATAATGATTTTTTAAGAGATATCATTTTATTATCAGATTACAGTCTTTGCTCTTATCAGTTTAAGATTTTTTTTTTTTAATTTTGAATTAAAATTATTGAATGCAGATTGGATATAAGCAAAATCAAAATTCCAGTGCTGGGAACTGATTTTAAAAATAGGTACTGCAGAGTAAATACAAGAAGATTGTCTCTGGACTATCAAATGGCTTAATTTTTTTTTTTTTTTGAATAAGCAACTTTGAATATAAAATTTAAATATAATTTCTAGATTCTCTTGGTCTTTCTGCTTGCAGCAATAAAGTATGTGTGTATGAACTATACACACATTCCATTTCTTATAAAGCTGAATGAAAATTATTCTATTGTTCTAGGACCATCATAAATATATAATATTATGTTTATAATCGAATGAAAATTGAAAATGAACCTTTGCTCATTGACTTTATTCTTTATTCAATCAATCTTAAACTTTGAATCATGTTATGCCCTGTCATATGTACTTCCAATCAATATTATTGAAAGTTTCCCATTTTACTTGAGTTATTAGTTATAAATTATGTCAATAGCATAGTATTGTGCTAGTTTCGTCATCATCTTTCCTTGGCATTTTAACATCTATATCAGTGTTCCAGACAAAGAGGTTTTTCTTATTTTCTCACAAAATTAATGTAAACTTTATGTATTGAATATTGTAAACAAGGTAAAAATTAAGAAAAGTATGAGTACTCAGTACTTGTACATGTTATCCTCAAGTAAGGTACAATTGTACTCTAATATAGGCCAGCTTTAAATAATGTTTGTTTGCCCTCTTCCTATTTGGGTCGCTAGGTTCATGTAGGTGAGAACATTTTTTAAATATAAATTCTCAGAAAATTTCAATTTCAATGCTAAATTTCTAAAATATATTTTCAAGAATACAAAAAAAAAAATTACCCGGTAATTGCTTTCTGAAGGTTGAACAAAATTTGAGTGGGGTCATTTTTAACCAGTCAGTCAGGAGAGGGCAAAAAAATTATTTTTTTTAAGATGGGCTTACTGAACATGCTTATTCACAAAGTAAACATCTTTATCAATTTTTCACCAATTACAGAAATAAATAATATCATACACTGATCATTGAGGAATAGCTTTTGACTCGAATGCTATCATCCCTGTTTTAACTGGTCAATGGTCATATGATATTATTATGATTCATATTAAATCATAAATGTGTGTATTAATGCATATATTAAGTGACATAGTGACTCATGGGTCATTTTCATATTAATATTTAAAGTTTTCATATCACTTCATGTTAATGTGCCTCTCATTTCAGACCCCTCCTGTCCCCACCCTGATGACCCCTGACCCCCAGGTTTGTCTTTACTGACTGCACCCAGGCATATTTCTATTTTTAACTCCCTGTTTAATTAGTTTTCACATTTACCCAGCAGCTGGCACATATCTAGCTTACTAAAGTGGGAAGCTGGGCTTATCGGAGGTGGATCCAGAAGGGTGGCCATTTGCAAATACTTTATATATTCAATTTTTTTTTTGGGGGGGGGATCTGCAATCATAAAGAACTTGTTTAAATTGGAGAGTAGCAGATGGATTTTAAACTGATATTAATTCATAAATTTTGGATTAATAATACATGTATTTGGTTAATAGTATTTAAATTAATTAATAATTAGCATTTAATCATGATATGAATTAGTTACATAAATAAGACAGATCTCTTAATAAAAATCATTTTAACAGATCTGTTAAAAGTACAAAGGGAACATGATTCATTGATTTTTAAGTCCATTTAAGCTTGGATCCATCCCTGATATTTTTGCTATTATAATGTTAATATTTCAACCTACTATTTTTCCCATCTTGGTTATAGGTTTCTGTATTTAGGGATCTTAATTGCATGCCTAGAACTATATTTCATCTAAATGAGGGTATACTTTAGTAATGGTGAATAATTGTTTAGTAAAAAAAAAATATAAAGATTGACTAACATCATTATTAACACTTGATCAGTATTAAAATATTAAATTTTTCAATGCATATCACCTATTTAGTTATTCATCATTGGCTTTTAATTATTATCCCTTAAATTCAATCAAGCTTTCATCAATGTCAAATCCATGACAGATAAAAAAAATATTCACGCAAAAAGTATTAATGATTGACTTTCAATTATATTTTGGAAAATAAAGCTGGTAATAATTGGCAATATGCATTTTGCAAAATAGGTAAAACCAAGATTATCTTTTTGATAAACATGTTTATTTTAATGTAATAGTACTTACTTGATAAGGGAAATCCATGTTTTTTTGTTTGTTTTTTTTTCGATAGTAAATGTTGTCCATTTTAAGTACCTGGTCCATCTCTAACACAAAATAAATTTCCACAGTGTAGACCCTAGATCAAGAGACCGATTTTCCCGATAATCATTTACAGGGGTTATATATTAACTTCCCCTCTCTCTCCCAGTAAATCCCAGCAATTGAGTTTGACATGGTTGTCAGGCCATCATCCAATCAGCTGTGGGTAATTATAGAGTCCTGGAGTAATTGTTGTTATATTAACTGTCAGAACAGATGGAGGTCAATCTCTGTGTTTCTATCTGTTGTCTGTGCCTATCTGATGTATGGCTATCAGAACACACTGTGTGTATTACAGTACATGCAGGCGTTCCATTAAGGTGGTAGAATCTAATAAGTGCAGGGGTACCCAAGGCTAAAAGTGGGTTAAGAGAGGCAAGTTCTTTTTCTCTGTGGTGCCTGGAATCAATTTTATGAAGAGTCTGGTTGTCAAAGAAAATTTATTGAATCAAAGTAAGTTTTGAGTGAAACATGCTTTAGACAGCTTTATTGTTTAACTGCATTTTCCATATGGTCAAAGTGAAAAAAAGTCAAATTATTAAATTCTGTTGATGCAAGCAAGGTAAGATCTTTATCCATATGAATGCATTCTCTGCATGCTTGAACTGACTGCAATTCTTCCAGTGTTTGTAAACAAGCAAGAAAAGCCATGTGACCAACTAAAAATGTTTATTGACCTTTTCACCTCTTCAGTACACCATAGATCATGCTTTCCCAGGGCATACATGCAAGCAGTGTTTAATGGACCATTTAATGAAACATTTCAATCTGGAAATATCTAAAATTTAAAACCAGGTAAGTTTTGACCATCGTCCAGTTTTGACCTTGAACTGGATGTACTGTATGGCCAGTTACACATTACTGAGCCACATAGTTTAGATAACCGATTTTATATATGGAAGAGATAAATGATATATCAATTTAACCTTGTGTGTGGCCCCCATCCAGTACACTGTAGTGTATTGGGGACCGTAGAATGACAAATCATTGCACTATAAGTGGTGTTTGATGTTTACCTTTGGCATTGCACCTGTCAAACTTTATTGGGAGGGAATAAAATAAATCACAGGTGAGTCAATTAAAAAAGGTGCTCCGCTGCAGGTTTTGTCCTTTTCGAAGGACATTGGTCCTGTTGAAATAATGTGCACTGATTTCATGTTAAGCAAAATTTATTGTTGAGATTTATTTCCAAGTGAATTTATAATGTTTGTGTGATAAAATGAAGAGTATTGCTGCTGAATGCAGTGGATTTTTTTTTTTTTTTTTTTGAGCTAGCTGTTTGAGAAAATATGAACTTTTGAATTAGCCACCTGAGTCTAAATTATTGGTTTTCTCTGGAGTACGTTATCTGAAATTAATTCTTTTTATTGTTTCAGAAGGTAATACTTTTCTCAATCTTTTACTGTGTAATTAAGACTTCAAAAACTAAAGGCTGGAATCTGTTAAGCGGTTTTTTGGTCTAATTCTAACGAGTAGACTCATTAGAGATCAGCCAGCCCATTTGATTGATCTTATGTGTTCTGTACACAATTTTCAATCTTTTTAATGTCAGGAATGGCATATTGGCAAAATATCCGGTAAAGTGTTTTAAAGCAAGCCTTAGACTCTATAAAACATGAAATGTCAATAGAATGGAGAAGGTCCATAAGACTGCATTAGAGGAGGGAGAAAAAAACTCGCATTAGAGCACTTGGCTTTCAGAAATTTCCAGCATTAGAACTAATTGCAGTTTTGTGTCTGGATGGAAATGAATTGCCCCAGAGTGGAAGTCTTAGACTATGATAAACTCCATGGTTCTCTGTATAATGTGAGTAAATTTACAGCTAAAAGACTTTAACTACATTCAAAGGGCATTGTTTAAATTTGTTAAATATTTTTGAAATGTCACAATCCTGTCAATTTGCTCGACATGTCATTGAAAAGTTTTGACAGATTTCTAAATCTATTCAGCAGCAAAATTTCATGTATTTGGTTTCAGGGTAACACTGTCAAACAGCTAGTGCATGCATGAACTAATGCTCTCTCTCTCTCTCTGAAATTTTTTTGTTTCATCATTCATAGCCTTTTCATATACTAATATTGAGGCATGTTTTCATTTTCATTATGTACATGTATATGATACATGTATTAGAAAAAGTCTACATTATGCATCTATATAAATATATGTAAACTGTACAAAAATAGTCAAGACAGAACTTTTAAATTCGTTGAACTGTCTGCACTGCACTGTAAGTCATCATTTTATTTTTTAAAAAATAATACAATCACGTTATATTTGCAGCATGTACAAGGTATAGATAGAATCTTTACTTAATTACCATACCTATATATAAAATGGTATGTCAGTTATAACAGTTAGCTTGGTTAAATTGTTTTTAATCATTTGGGAGAATGAAAAATTCAGTTATTTTTAATTTTGAACATATTCAATAGTATTTGATAATTTGATAAAGTTAACTTTATAATTAATAGAATTTTGGTTGGGGATCGAGCCATTTTTTTTTTTTTAAGCACTTTCATTACTCACCAAGCAATTGAAATTTAACTCCTTTATCAATAAAATTATAATATATTAATTGTGTGGTATTTTGATCTTAAATTTATTTCAAATTTACATAAAACTTTAACAACCGTATGTACCATGTGTATCTACATATCCACTGATCCCGAATTTCCTTTGTTGTAGTTTAACCTGAATTTGCTCTGTTGTAGTTTATTAGGAACCTGAATTTCCTCTGTTGTAGTTTAACCTGAAGGAGATGGAGATGGAGGGAGGGTATTACCGGCAGTGTCAGCAGCTGGAGGCCGCCGACGCCATGTCTCACCTGGAGCACATGTGTAAACTGGACATCGACTCGGAGCCCCACGAGGTCAGAATGACCGGCATCATTTGTACCATTGGTGAGTCTTCACTGAGGGTGATGATCAGTACAACTACAGTTTTGTAACTAAAGTCATTGACAAGGATATAGTGACATACATTTCTGAATCAGTACATGTACTTATTCTCAAGTTAGATTATTTTTCAGTGCTTGTCTTGTTGTTTTTAGTACGTGTGTAAAATTTTGTGTGTAGTTTATATAAGGAAAATCTTCTTGGACCTTATTTAGCAAATTGTTAATGCAGCGTGAAAGTGCCTCAATTTTCTTTTCAAGCTCTGGGTGTCATCTACCGTACAATTTACATTAGATAGAGAATTTTTTATGGGAATGAGTTGTGCAAGACTTAAATTTTTTCTCTTAACATTTCTATGTTTTATAAACTGGTTCTGAGTGGTTATTTCTGTGACAGGGCCTGCTTGTCGTGAAGTCAGTATGCTGCAGAAAATGATCATCGAGGGCATGAACATTGCACGACTCAACTTCTCCCATGGCACTCATGAGGTACTGTTCTTAGCATTTTAGCTTCCATTGATCAGAGGGCAGCCTTCATATACCAGAAGATGTTTTAAAATTGAAAGATTTCAGAAATTTGTCTTAAAAAAACTTTTTTAGGTCCTATCAATCATGAAAATTGTTGATGAAATCTGTCATATTTGGTTTTGTTTTAGTTGTAAAGCATTATTTTTGATCATATTTGTATCTTTGCTATTATACAATAAGTTTATCCCAGATAGTAAGATTTTCACATGGGCTTAAATTTTATTCAGTTTTGACTATACACTTTATATCTTTTGTAACCATTAAATGTTTATTTTTCATGTGAAATCTTTCAGTATCATGCTGGCACAATAAAGAACATCCGAGAGGCAAAAAACGGCTTTAGTTCTCCCCGACCTGTGGCCATCGCCCTGGATACCAAGGGGCCAGAGATCAGAACCGGACTGTTAGAGGGGGTAGGTTGTTAGAATTCCTAGTCCAAAATGTGTAACTGTCGCCTTGACTTTAGTATGTTACAGTCAAATTGTGATAACCTGACTCCCGATCTTAACAGGACTGTATATTCAAGATGAAAACGTGTACAGTGAAGCATGCTTTTACTGAAAATACTTAAAATGAATCAAGTTCCAAACATATTTTAAAGCTAAGAAAAATTAAAATCACTTGCAGTAAATATTACTTCATTATTAGCATTTTCTCTATAAGTTTTACTGTGTAAAAATATAGTGTATTTTTATAGTGTATCTTTTTTGTGTATTAGTATTAGATGTTTCTAAAGATCCTGCTCTTACCAAACTATAAGAAGAAAAAAAAACTGGATATCATTTACAGTCAAATCTCTTTGTGTCAAACTCTGTGGGACCGAGGAAATCTTTGAGTTATCCAAGTATTTAAGATACAAAGAGTAAACCAGTTTTGAGGATGGGTGGTTGGGACTTCCAAATCACTTCATAATATTTATGGAATTCAAGATGTCAGTGTTCCAGATGCAGATATTTACAGTTACTGTAATTTTTTTTTTATATGATGTAGGGGGCCTCTGCTGAGATCACTCTGAATGCTGGAGACAAAATAAAGATCACGACAGACGACAAATACAAAGAGAAGTGCAGTAAGGACGTGTTGTGGGTGGACTATAAAAATATCACCAAGGTCATGTCTGTAGGCGACAGAATGTACATAGACGACGGTCTCATCTCAGTCATAGTCAAGGAGATGGGTAAGTTTACGTAAAAAGCTGGATATCACAGAATTACTTAGGCCTGTAATGAAATTGTCTATTGCAGACAGAATGTACATAGACGATGGACTGGTTCTGTCATTGTCAAGGTTATTGGTAAGATTATGTAAAGCTGTAAATCTAAAAGTGAAACATACACCTCTCAACAAGAAAGTGTTAATATCAGGAATTTTTTTTATGTTTACATATGCATGCATAAAAAAAATGAAATTTATTTAAATAGCATAGATATCAGCCGAGATTTCTTTACGTAATTAACATGCAGTATTTTCACATTGATGTCAAGATTATGAACAATCATCTATATCTTCAAGATATATGGTCAATTTTTTTCTCACTACAAAAGAAAAATCTAAATAAATTCAATAATATAAATTTAACAAAATAATGATTGGAAAAAAGCTTTGACAATGAGTTGAAGATTATTTTCACCATACCTGTATACATGTGATTAACCTGTAGGTGCTGACTACCTGAACTGTCTGGTGGAGAATGGGGGAGACCTGGGGAGTAAGAAGGGCTGTAACCTCCCCGGGGTCGCGGTGGACCTGCCTGCGGTGTCAGACAAAGACAAGGAGGATCTACTGTTTGGGGTGGAACAGGGGGTAAATATCCGAGGACAAGTCATGTTGGGGGGGGAGGTTTCTTAGGAGTACATTTATTTAAAGGAGGAATATGTGGCAAGGGGGTGAGGGGGTGGGGGAATATGCAGCAGGGGGGGGTAAGGGGACAAGTTGAACAAGGGGTAAGTCCTGAGGGGACAAGTCACTGGGGAACATTGACTGTTGTGGGTTGGGTGAGGGATTGTAGGAGTATTTTGAGGGGGAAGCCATAGGGTAATAATGCAGTGTCAGAGAAAGACAAGGAGGAACAAGTACTGTTTGAAGTAGAACAGGGGGAGGGTAAGTCCTGGGGAATAATGCAAGGGGATGTGGGGGATGGAGGGGATCTTGAGGGGAGTATTTTGAGGGGAAAGCTGTAGGTTAATACTTTTAATTAGCATATGTTTAAGAGGAAACAGAAGTGAACAAAGAAGTATAGGGGTAAATGAATGGGGCACATATGCAGCAGGGGGAGGGAATTGTTGGAAAACTTCTCAAAGACAGGAAAAGGCTGGTGACAAGGGGTGGCAGGGGGATATTTTGAGGGGACAAGTGAGAATTAACAGGAATACTTAAGAAGGTGAAAAACAGAGAGAGGTTAAACGGTTGGAGTCATAACAAAATATTTTAATTGAGAATTGTATAGTTTCAGCTGCAGTAGTTAGATTATGATGTTGCAAGGGGAGGGGGGGGGGTAATCAAATCACAGGGAAGAAAGTCAAACCTCATTATCTTGAGCTGGATATGGACAGAGGGATATTTGGGAGTTTGGAATGTAGAGGTTAAAATTTACAGAGAAATATATGGCATGAAGGGGTAAGTCTTTACTTGGGAACATATTGATGGTATGTATAGGGGAAACATAGGATAATACTTTAACACAGTTCAAGAAGATATCAAGTCACTGGGTATAATAGTTGAACTGTAACATCACTGTTAATCCCAATACACAGGCTTGGTATATGTTGTAGGTAAATAGACATTGTGTTTGCTTCCTTCATCAGAAGTGGACAACACATCAAGGACATCAGGAAGGTGATGGGAGAGAAGGAAATGAAAATATAAGAATCATCGCCAAGATCGAGAACCATGAAAAGGGGTCAAAAGGTCAGTCATTGAGGCTTAATTACTGTGTTAATTAAGATGAATTACAGGTTGCTGCATGCAGCAGATCACTGACTTAAAACGTATGTTTGGCTGTGCATTATTTTTTGGCGTTTTCTTTTGCCTTGCTGTCTATTGAGAGAAGCTTGCTTACTAATTCAGAAGTACATCGACATAAATGTTTTGCACCTATATACATGAATAAGAACATTAAGAAATGTGATAATTAACTCAAATCTGTGCTAATTACTGTTTGCAAAAATCAATTTCCGGCAAATATCGTAAAACATGCTACAACAAATTCAAAATTCAGGTGAAGTGCTTTTCATTCCCCATTAGCATTATAATCAAACTCAAAAAAAATATAGAAACAAAGTACATTAATTTTTTGGGGTCCTAGGTTCTTGCATGGGATTATGTTGTAATATGATTTTAGAGAAAGTACAGTACACTGCTTTCCTCAGCGCATTGAAAACACATATTATACATGAACCATAAATCACACATTTTAGATGACCGAAGCCTATGTCTAGAGCTCGGTTTCCCTATTATATATATATATTTTGATTTTATTTCAGATTTGATGAAATTCTCCAGGAATCCAATGGTATAATGGTGGCCAGAGGAGACCTTGGGATAGAAATCCCTCCCGAGAAAGTCTTCCTGGCTCAGAAGATGATGATTGGTCGATGTAACAGGGCAGGAAAACCCGTCATTTGTGCTACACAGGTTTGTGGATTCTGCGGAGAGAAAATTGAGTCAACATTGTCAAATTAAAATTAGAGAGCTCACGATAATGATCACTGATTTCCAGTGAGTTGTCTTTCTTTGTACACAAACTATATAGCAATACAATAATCAAATTTCCCACATGTGTATTTTCTCTGTTATTTGACCTAAAAAAGTTGTTTTTATGGAAGTTATGATTTGTTGAAATAAACATAACATCTGGCCCATGTAGATATGTATCTGTAGAGAAAAAGTTGAAATAAGAAGTTTTTTTGTGTAAAAGAAAAAGTCATGGTTTTTAGGTTTTCAGTTTAAAACTTTTCCCTTATGTGAAATTTAGAATGTCCTATACATGTACTTGTAAATGAAGTTATGTCAATTTTTTACTGTGTAGATGTTGGAGTCGATGGTGAAGAAGCCCCGTCCCACTAGGGCGGAGTCTAGTGATGTAGCCAATGCCGTGTTAGACGGAGCGGACTGTGTCATGTTGTCAGGGGAGACAGCTAAAGGAGACTACCCACTAGAAGCTGTCAAAATGATGCAGAAGGTGTGTGCCTTTTTTAAAATTTTGTTAAGTATTGAATGATCATTATCCAGTTACTTTCTATGACATGCTTTTTCACAAGAAAGTCATAAGGCATAAGCAGACAAAATATTATGAAATCTGGTAATTGTTTAATGCAAACATTTTTGTGAAAATAAACAAAAATATCCAAAATTGATCTAAAATATATATTTTTTTAATTGTGAAAAAAATACAGATATTTCCGCTTGTTGAAATAATAATGAAGTATATAAATTCATGCATAAAAAGGAAAAAACTTTCATTCCTTGTAGTTTTAAAAAGAAAAAAAATTATGAAATCACAATGTAATGAAATGAATTTATTTCAAAAACTTGTCTCCAGACTTGTGTGTTACTGAATAAACTTACAGATATAAAACAGATCACCAACACTTCATGAGAATACAGTAGTAAATTTATTTTGTCTCCAGTATTTCTTTGTGTTGTATTACTGAGTAATTTTACTGTTTCAGATCTGTAGGGAGGCGGAGTCAGCTGTTTTCCATCATCAGCTGTTTGAGGAGTTACGTAAGGAGACCCCCACCCCCACAGACGCCACCCACACTGTTGCCATAGCAGCAGTAGAGGCCTCCTTCAAATGTATGGCAGCTGCTATTATTGTGATCACAACATCAGGAAGGTACAGTACAGTTCTAAAGACTGTATCATCTTTGGTATAAGTATGAAATTATCAGGAAGGTAAAAAGTAGAAATGATCAGATGAAATCACAGTACGGTTCTAAAGTCTGTATCATCTGTGGCATAAGTATGAAATATGGCATGCTTTGAGCTCTCTTCTTGGACATATAGAACAAACAGTGTCTGTATCCATTTTGAAATATTTGCATCCTCCTGTATTCTGTGTCATGTCAAAAGAAATTGGGCTTATCTTTATTCTAAGATTTATATCGTCTGAAAAGTTGAATGTATTGACACACCTCTGTATCCTGTTATGAAAATTAATCCGCCCACGTGATCTCTGTTTCTTTATTGTGTGAATGTTAATTGTATTGACACACCTCTTTATGCTCTTCACTGATAGCCTATAAACCTAATCTAAGTTTTATATTTTCAGAGTGTTAAATGTATTGACCCACCTCTTTATTCTGTTAGATCCGCCCACGTGATCTCAGTTCTTTATTGTCTAATTGTTACATGTATTGACACACCTCTTTATTCTTTTAGATCCGCTCACCTGATCTCTGCCTACAGACCCCGGTGTCCCATTCTGGCCATCACACGGATAGAACAGACAGCCAGACAGTGTCATCTTTTCAGGGGGATCTTCCCCATCCATTATGTGGGTAAGTACTCGATAGAGTCAGGGAGAAGGGGGGGTCTGTTATGTGGGTAAGTACTGAAGGGGGTGGGGGTTGGTTACGTAATATATACCGTATAACAGGTATTTTTTACGTGCTGCTAATTTTTACTAATTTTTACGAGTTTTACAAATCCATAAAATCTAAATGCGTAAAATTTCACAGAAGTAAAAAACGCCTAAATTTTGAACATCGTATTATGAGAGAATTTTAATGCTATCATTGCCATTTAGTTAAGTACCTGGAGGCTATAGAATTAGTACTGACACTCGTTGGTATTTTGGGGAACTTTTTAATTGATTATCGATTAGGATCAAACAAGTGAATCTTAATTAATGCACAAATTATACAAACATCGTCAATTACCTGGTTCCTCTAACAGAACGCATAATTTCTGATAATGGCTTAAATATTACAGACTGGAGTCTTCAAATTATACCTGTTATTCAAGAGTTTTACCTTTTTTTCTTTTTATTTGCTTCCAGTAAAAGCTTCGACATTTTAATGCATCGTAATCCGTGTCCCCTGTAATTCTGTTAACTTAATCATTGTTGCTTGAGTTGTCTCTCTTTGTTTTCATTAAAATGAAGACGGGCACGTGGTACGCAACAATAATGATGCGTGAACATGTGTATTAATTGACAAAGGAATAAATTCAGGGCATGTGATATATAAAGGTATTTAAATGAATAAACATATCACTGAAGGAATTGACACTCGTTATCACAGGAACAATTTTGTTTTTATTTTACATCGGGTTGTCCACACATTTAAAACACGTATATGTATGTCAACGCATTCAAAACGCTTAAACATTGATCTGGAACTTCACCTCTGACGATTTTAATTTTTACAGACATGCTCAATTCGTAAAAATTTAATGCGTAAAAAATAAAATCACCCTATTTCAACAGAAATCCGTTAAAATTCACAGCAGTAAAAATTACCCGTTATACAGTATATATATATACTCTGAAATAACTAATTTTCATGGTGGTTTAGTTTTTGTGGTTTTCTAGGTTTGGAGAGACCTAGAATTTATGTCCACCATGAAATATAATGTTAACAGATAATTCAACTCAACAATTCTTTATCCACAACATCAAATCCCCATGAACCCATATTTTTAGGTCACCTGAGTAAACTCAGGTGACCTATTGCTATCTGTTGTTGTCCGTCGTCGTGCGTTCCTGCGCCATGCGCCGTGCGTTAACATTTGAACATTTTCAGCTTCTTCTCTGCAACCACTCAACCAATTTCAACCAATTTTGGCACATAGCATCTACGGGTGAAGGGGAACAAAAATTGTGAATTTCATGTTCCCTGCCCCCCTGGGGCCTGAGGGGTGGTGCCAAAACCACTAAAATTAGTGCAATCTTTAAAAATCTTCTTCTTTACTCCTGGACATCAAGCAGGCAAACTGTTGGCATGAATGTAATGAGCATTGAGTCCTCTACCAAAATTGTGAAATTCATGGCCCCAGGGTAAGGGGTTCTTGTGCTAGGGCGGGGCTATATAGATTATATAGTGAAAATACATTATTTCTTTGAAAATCTTCTTCTCTGCTCTTGGGTATTAAGTAAACTAAGTAAGTACATACTTATGTTGAGCAAGAGTGCCTCTTTCAAAATTGTGAATTTTATGGCCCCAGGGTCAGGGGTTCTGGTGTTAGGGTGGGGCTCTATTGATTATATAGTGAAAATGCATTTATTCTTTGAAAATCTTCTTCTCTGCTTCAGGGTATCAAATAAACTAACTAAGCACATAGTTATGATGAGCAAGAGAGCCTCTTTCAAAATTGTGATATTTATGGCCCCAGGGTCAGGGGTTCTGGTATTAGGGCGGGGCTCTATGGATTATATAGTGAAAATACATTATTTTTTGAAAATCTTCTTCTCTGGGTATTGAATAAACTAACTAAGTACATAGTTATGATGAGCAAGAGTGCCTCTTCTAAAATTGTGAATTTTATGGCCCCAGGGTCAGGGGTTCTGGTGTTAGGGCGGGGCTCTATTGATTATATGGTGAAAATGCATTTATTCTTATTTACAAGATACTCAGGTGATCTATAAGGCCTGTGGGCCTCTTGTTTTCTCAAACCACGATAATTTGAACCCATGAAAATTTGTGATTTTAAAGTATGCACGTAGTCTATGTTTGTAGTGTAGATGTTGTATTTATACATTCCTGTAGTAGTACATCTGTGTTCTTTAGTGCAGTCTGCATGCATGCATTTTTTCCCGCTATATTTTAACATGATCATGAATCGCTATTTGTCTTCACCTTTTGCTCTATAGATATATAATGCTATGTTCATAGTGTATGCTTATACCATGATATGCTTTATACATATCTTATGCTTGCTCCTGTATGCTTAACCTATGCTTTTCTCCCTTGCCTGCTTTATATGTACCCCATCATGCTTTTGTGCTGTATATAGAGCCCCGCGTGGAGCTTTGGACGGATGACATGGACAAGAGAATCTACAAAGCTATGGCACTCGGCCGGAAACGAAACTTCATCAAAAAGGGGGATTTCATCATTATAGTGACAGGATGGAAATCAGGGTCAGGGTACACTAATACCCTGAGGATCATTAATGCCCCCGAGACAGATGAGGGGCCCATACTAGGGGTTCCCGTCATTAAAGACTATAATGACTAACTATAGAATTCTGTACTTATATTGTGGCCCCATGTCCCTTAAAAGGGGTATTGTAAAGTTGATTTTGAAAATTGTGAGTAGGAGAATAAAGAGATAAGATATAGAATTCAGGAAAGGATTGTTAGAAAAATTAAGCACTTTGAGTTTCATGCAGAAACAGTTCAATGAATTTCAAACTCCACTTTAATTTGTTATTTAGGATCACCCTATATGTTATCTGTTAAAATATAATTTATTGCATTTTGTCTGTGATTTTCATGTTTACCCAAAAGTATATACGTCATAATAAATGATGAAAAAATACCCAATAAATACTGTTGTTTACTTATCCAAAAATTATTCCTGTCTTTGAACATGATGAATGATGTAAAAATTATTTTTTTTTTAAAGATTATCTGAAATATAAAACTTACAAATGATAAATATTCCATTTTATTTAAAGATGTTTACACTAACAACACCATTTTATTTTTCTGTAGTTTTCCTGGGAATGTTGCTTGCATCATCACATCTAACCATGTTTGTGATTGTTGCTCACTTTTCTTTTTGCATGATTCTGATATTTCATGATGTAAACATAAAGTGAAAGGTTTATCTACCAAGGATTTTCTTTACTAAACTATCAAATTCCATCATTGTATTAGTAAACAGATGTATTGTAAAATGTCTGACAAAATCAACAATTTATGGGTATTTAGAGTACAGTAAAGCACTCTTGCAGCCAAGTGCAATTTTGATTTGTTATAAATGAAATTTGTCATATCTGTTAAGTTCACACTACTGAAAGTCGAGCATCCATGTGAATTCATTATAAGTGCATTTGTTATAACCCTGCTTTACTGTTTAAGGTCACCTTGATATGAAAAATAATGTACATTACACGTGAATTTAAATGTAATCCCCCCCTCTTTTGTTATATTTTTATTACAGGTACATTGTTGATACTATCCACTGTATTGATTGTTCTTTAGTCACCAAACTCATTGTTACATTGTTTACTATTTATGACACTTTAATATTCATTATGGTTTGTATGAGGAAGGGAATTTGTTTTAATTACTGTCACAGTTCACTTTCAGATTCTAACTGATAAGGCCATCCTTAAAAAATTTTTGTTTGCCCTCTCCCAACCGTCTGCCTAAAATTGCTCAAAACCCTCAGGAAACAATTTTTTTTCTTTCGTTTTATTCCTGTATATTCTGTTCTCTTAACATGCTTCTTAAAATTTTCTGCAAAATTTTTCCCCACCTACCTACCAACCCAACTTTTTTTACCCTGAGTCAAGAAAGGGCAAGTAAACAATATTTTAAACATGGCCTTATCTTGAATTGTTTAATTGTTTACAAAGAAATGAAGTAAAGCATTCATGTTCAAGTTTTCCATTTACAGTGATTTACTTGATAAAAAAATGTTTTTTTGTTTCAAATTATTTCAAATTTTCAAGTAATATACAGAATTGTTCCACAGTTCTAATGTTATAAATAGTAAGCTTTAGCAAATTTGTTTTTAACCCTTTGTGTGCGGGAACCCAATATATTGGGTCTGACGTCACAAACGCTACCGTGCGGGAACCCAATATGTTGGGTCTGAGTCTGGAATTAGCGCTTCGTCACATAAAACGTAGTATAAAACGTATAAATGACTTGTGAATTATTAAGAATCTATCAATGTGTATTAAAAAACTACAATACATTTGAAAATAGGTAATTAAGATGTGAAAATATGCGAATTATTTGTGAAATTGTGATTTAAAGTGAAGATTCCCATTGGCGTTTGTTACGATGAAAGTCAGTCCGCTATTTTTGGAAACAGGGAAAAAACGCGCATGTAATAAATATCTAATAACTTGCTCTAATATAAGAGAAAATAAAGAAATAGATCCAAAAAATAGTTAAATATCAATAATTCTAATAAATTTGTGTTAGTAGACATAACACTTTTAATAGGCTTAGAAATTGCCGATATTTTAGCAGAAAAACTCTGGTTAACTTGACTTGACCTTAACCTTGCGAAGTTCTTCCTGTTAAAACGAAAGTAGGGTGCACATGCTACTGAACTTCAGTCTGAAGCAAATCGAGAGCTTATATGGTCGGCAAAGTTTTATATTTTGGACATATGGTGGTTATTATTTGTTTATTTGGCGTTTTGTAAGTAGACATGTACATTACATCGTCTAAATGAAAACAATAATGCACGAGATTGAACCTGGCAAGCCAGAGACGTTTTTTATTTTCCTCAGTGGCTGTGCACGTTGTTTACATTCGTAAATCAAGCTTTGCTTTGAAATAAAAGTTTGCAAAAAATAATTTGAAGCTTCTTATTAATTAGAGGCATTTGTTTTTTTTTTTAACAATAAATTAACAAATAAATAAGTAAACATTTTTTTTTAAATCTCTAAAGCTAAAATGTTGAAAGATAAAAAAGGTTTCACCTGATAAAAGTAATAAATGTGGAGGACCTTGAACACTGTGGAAAATTTTCTAATGAGTTATTGCATTAATAAGTAAGTGCAAAAGAGATATATAGAGAATATATATCCACAGGGACCTATATACTATAGTATATAGGTCCCTGATATCCATCAGCATATTTTTGTGATCAAGCAAAATTAATTCATGATACAGGTATTCGAAATACATGCAATCATGGAGTCAATTAAGTGGCCCTAATTACACCTAAAATTTCTGGTTTAAAGCTGCTTAATGTTCCATCTATTTGGGAAAACCTTCAAATATTTTTTTTATAACAGTATATGATATATTGTAAAATTTTTAGCACAATTAAAAATTAAAAATAAACTTGATATTTTCAAATGTAAGCTAGTTCACCACACTGAAACTGAAGTTTACTTTTAAAAAAATCCAAATAGTACTGAAAAGGAAAAAAAAAAACATTAACATATCAGAAAAGATGCATTGATTCATTTGATCATATGACATATGTGCATATACATGAAAATGGTAAAGAGTGATGAAAAAATTTTGAAGTGCTGATTTTCCCTGAAATGACTGTCATTTGTGTAAACTTGGTATTTGTTTTATTTCAGTAAGTAATAAAAATACCATTTTTATTTCCTTGCTGAGGATTATATAGACTCTCAATAATTTCAAAACCAAAATATGTTCCCTGATCTTTGGTATCTTAGAGTTAGGCAAGGCGTTTAAGGCATTTACATACTCTAGTTTGCATGGAACCTAATTAGTAAGTGAAAATACTGTAAATGTATTACATTTAGCGGTGTATTCTATTTAGCGATTTTGGCGGAGAGCAGACTCCGCTAATTCAAGTACATCGCTAAATGTCTGTTATGTTAACTTTTATAACTAGCAAATTCAGACAGCGCTAAATCAAATCTACGCTAACTTGTTGAAAATTGAATTTTCGGCAAATATCCTACATGCCAAATGTAATACATTTACAGTACTTGATACTCAGTATTAGAAGAACATGTATCTGAATTTTTTTTTCTAAACCAAGTTTAAGTACATGAATCGGGGAGATATTTTCTTTTTCTTTAAAATATTTTTATATAGCTCTCAATAATTTCAAAACCAAAATATGTTCCGGGATCTTGGGTATCTTAGAGTTAGATTTCTTCAAGGCATTTACATACTCTAGTTTGCATGGAACCTTATTAGTAAGTGAAAATAAGTGGTAGATGTATCAGAATTTTTTTTTTCTAAACCAAGTTTAAGAACATGTATCAGGGAGACTTTTTCTTTTTTTTTAAAATAGACTTTTGCCAGAATAAAGCATGTGGATTATATTGCACATTTTCCCCACTTTTTTTTTCTATTTTATTAAAACCAATCAAAGTACTCAGAAGTACTGAAAGCCGGGCTCATTTACAGGGTAAATGAACTACTAGTTTCTAATTTTCGCCCCGTTTTATTTTCGCCCCTTTTGCCCTCTTGATTGGGCGAATTTAAAACGGGGCGAATTCAAATTACACAGTATTATTTCTTAAACAGAACTACGACAGGGCGAATTTCAAACGGGGCAAAATTGTTTGCCAGTGCCAAGGGCAAAAATAACCCTGTATACAGTAATACCGCGATGACAGTTTAAAAACATGCCGATTCAGACATTGAAAAGATAATTATATATCTCAACGTCATATACAGCATTAAAAAGTTTTAAAAATTAATTAAAATGTAGCTAGAATTTAACAGCGTAAAATATTTGTCACATATATCGTTTCGGGGTTTTATATACCAACAGAAGTAAATAAACACTGATGCAGCAAGATTATTTAAGGTCAAACGATTAACACTGATGCAGCAAGATTATTTAAGGTCAAACTATTATGCACAGATGTGTCCCCAGCGGGGAGTTTTGCATCAAAGCGTACATCAAATCATTAATGATGTTCCTTGCATTTGTGATAACCTGATAGTACAACCTTTATTTATAGAATATGACGCAGACAGGGATACCTGATGAATACCTTTCGCATATTTTAAGCAAATAATTAATCGTCGAAGACGATAGAAAGTATTTTATTATAATTATTTTTTGACAATTTCAGATAACTTTGAAAGTCAAATTCAGTGTTTGAATTGCCTCAAAGTTGATTGCGCAAACGTACTATATTTTTACTCGTAAATTTAATTTGGCGGTGATGAAGCAGCATTTCCGGTTGAACACCGTCGCAAAAGCCGGGCATTGCTCTACGAGCAATGAGCCCGGCTAAAAACTGTGAGACTGCCCCAACCTATACATGCACACACAAAATTATAAAATTCACTGGTTAAATAAATGGTAACTCTACAGTTTAAAATTAAGATGAATTGTCATTTTTGTAGGCATAAGAAGGAGATCAGAGTCTTTAGAATGAGTAATTTGTAAATAAATTGTATGGACTTGCATGTAAATCTGCTCAATAAATTACAATCAAGACTGGGTAATAGGAATTATACTTCTCAAACTCAAAAGTACACTCTGTATATGTTGTCACCTATTGATATGTAAAATGTCCTCTAATTTACAAGTTTATAAGGCCCAAGAAGCTTCTACATTCCACCATTTCTAGATATGTAAGATAGGTGTATTTGATGTTAGAGATAGTCATATATGCCTGAATGAATACAGTAAAAAAGTTAAGATTTACAATGAGATTTTTTTTTAATGATGGTCAGGAAAATTTTTCAAAATTGCAAATTCCTATACAATTACTAATCAACAAAGATTACATTTTGGTCTGCAAAGATATGTTTATTTTTAAATATGAAAATGTGAATAGTTACTAAGAGTACAAGGAAATCCCATTGTGGAAATAAAATATATTTTATCATTAGGAATAATATTTTATGTTGAAGTAAAAATTCAGGCACATTAAAAACTTGTGTAACAGGAGAGGAGAAAATGTGTGGTTGGACCAGGAATTGAACCCAGGAACCCTGCTTCACTAGTCAGGTGATACCCATAGCACAACCATTATATATGCCTCTTTAAAATTATCTTCATCCTTGCAGATACTACCCAAATTCTTATTAGCCCCTGACAGGACTTTCACTTGCAAATCCAGAGGGGTCAATAGCATCATATCTGTAACAAGGAAGGAGAAAATGCATGGCTGGACCTTGAATCAAAGAAGGGACCCCTGCATCACTGATCAGATGCTCTACTGACTGAGCTTACTCAGCCTATATCCATGACCCATACCATTACACTTGCATATACTTAAACTAAATCAATTGAAAAAAATCAAAACTGTTATTCACCAGTGACCACAATGAACAAAGTAATTTATGAAAACGTTATAATTAAATGACTGTTAAAGGTGCTTAAATTTCTAAAATTTAAAATTCTAGTTTTCCTGCTGGCGTTTATTGCACTGTTGCCAGCTAGGAATAAAACTAAAATAAATGCAACATTTCTTACAGAATGAGAAGTATTGTGGGAGGAAAGTGGATGAATATGTTAACTTTACAAATAACATGGAGAAATGCATTTTCTTCAATAAAAGCAAAATAAAAAAATATTAAAGAGATTTGAGAATTACTATAGAAATGTATTTAGGGCTGTTAAATTCCAGTCATTAGAAAATAAGACCTCTATAACTTAGTGTAAAAGTTATTTTATTTTTATAATTTATTTATTTAACACATTGACTGCTTAAAAATAAATACTAGTAACAGCAATTAGTTCATTGTTGTGCCAATTTGCTCCAGATTTCCCAACCTCAAAATCTGCATATTTTCTGAGGATCATACTTTCATACTTTCTTTGATTCCAATATTTCTTAAAATAATCACTGGTTTTATATTTACAGCGTAACTGAATCTTCAATTTATACTCTTTTAAGTTAAAATCTGAAGGAAAAAAATCCATTATTAGAATCAGAATTCATTTAAACCTACATGAATATATCCCTTACTCAGATAAGTATAAAATGACTTTTCACAACATAACAGTATATATAACATTGACTTAATCATTGAGTTATTGTTTAAATTAATTTTTCTTTTACATAATATTAAATCTAAAATTGAATTTCTAGAGCAGTTGGTTTATTTTTTTCATCGAAGTGCAATGTTTTCTCTGAAAAAAGCAAAAAAGTCATTTTAAAATATATTTTTTGAAAATTTGGTTTCCATGGCAACATAAAACATTAGATTTTTAAAAAAAAAATATTTTGAATTAAAAAACACAATATTTGTTATATATTTGCCAAATTTCAAGCAAATTGGTTGTCATCAATTTTAGATATTTGCATTTTAGTACACCATTGTGATAATTTTGTTGATATTACAAAACAACTCAGTCCTGAGGTTACTGTGCACGTAAAACAAGTCAGCACACAAAGGGTTAAAACACAAGTGCTTTTTAAAACTGTGACTGATTTGTTTTGTTTTTTAATATTTTATCGATAACATCTTAATTATGTTGTGTATTAATGTTCCAGATCCCGTCATGAGTGAGTGGACGGTGGACGTCGACCGTCGGATTTACAAGGGAATTCAGATTGGAACGGATCGAGGATTTATCCAGAAAGGCGATCCGGTTATCATCATCACGGGCTGGAAGCCTGGATCTGGATCAACCAACACGATGAGGATCATAAACGCTGTAGATGTAGCTAAATCTGACCTACTGGCCCCCATTACAGGTTTGTTATAATGCTATAGATGTAGCTAAATCTGACCTACTGGCCCCCATTACAGGTTTGTTATAATGCTATAGATGTAGCTAAATCTGACCTACTGGCCCCCCTTACAGGTTTGTTATAATGCTATAGATGTAGCTAAATCTGACCTACTGGCCCCCCTTACAGGTTTGTTATAATGCTATAGATGTAGCTAAATCTGACCTACTGGCCCCCATTACAGGTTTGTTATAATTCTATAGATGTAGCTAAATCTGACCTACTGGCCCCCATTACAGGTTTGTTATAATGCTATAGATGTAGCTAAATCTGACCTACTGGCCCCCCTTACAGGTTTGTTATAATGCTATAGATGTAGCTAAATCTGACCTACTGGCCCCCCTTACAGGTTTGTTATAATGCTATAGATGTAGCTAAATCTGACCTACTGGCCCCCATTACAGGTTTGTTATAATTCTATAGATGTAGCTAAATCTGACCTACTGGCCCCCATTACAGGTTTGTTATAATGCTATAGATGTAGCTAAATCTGACCTACTGAATCCCATTACAGGTTTGTTATAATGCTATAGATGTAACTAAATCTGACCTATTGGCCCCCATTACAGGTATGTTAAAATGCTATAGATGTAGCTAAATCTGACCTACTGACTCCCATTACAGGTTTGTTATAACGCTTTAGATGTAGCTAAATCTGACCTATTGGCCCCCATTACAGATTTGTTATAATGCTATAGATGTAGCTAAATCTGACCTACTGAATCCCGTTAAGGTTTGTTATAACTCTATAGATGTAGCTCAGCTTTTTTTTTCCTTATATAACTGATACCGGTAAACGGCACCATTCCCAATGCCAAAAAACGTTAATTTTTCCCAATTTTGTGATTAAAAATTCCCAATTCAACTGTGAAGCAAAAGATTATGACGACATCGTATTTCTTCTTGATTAATTGTTTCACTTCCGCTTAAATCGAAAGTAGAGAAAGTCATAATTTGGCGGGACCAGTGGGTTAGACAGCGTAGTGTCAGACAAATTGAAAGCATGACAATGTGAAAACAAGGGACGTTGATATAAAAAACAATAAGTACTTGTTGTTTAATCTTTAAAAAAAAGCAGTGATAGGTAGTTAAGTTGGAATAAACACAAAATACGTTGCATTTGCATATATGAGAGAAAACTCTCCTTTGTTTTTCTTCGGTGTTATCTTTCCCAATTGAACCGGTACCGGACCCTTTCCCAACGGGTGGAAAAAAATCGCTGTAGCTAAATCTGACCTACTGGCCCCCCTTACAGGTTTGTTATAACGCTATAGATGTAGCTAAATCTGACCTACTGGCCCCCATTACAGGTTTGTTATAACGCTATAGATGTAGCTAAATCTGACCTACTGGCTCCCCTTACAGGTTTTTATAAAGCTATAGGTTGTAGCTAAATCTGACCTACTGGCCCCCATTACAGATTTGTTATTTAAGCATTGAATTCATGTTTGTGGATATCTTCGGTCCTATAACACACCTGGCTGTGCCGACAAATTGAATACCGCGCGTTAGCGCGGTATGATAATTTGTCGGCACGGCCCGGTGTGTTATAGGACCGAAGATATCCACAAACATGAATTCAATGCTTATATTTACATTCTTTAATTTTCCCTCTTCATAATTGCTTATTTCGTTAATCTTAAATGTGAATTTAGTGCCCTTCAAAACTCCGTGGTTAAAAGATGTAAGAGCCGTTTGTGACGTCAAATGACGTTAAATGACGTTGCAAAGTTAAATAACGCAAACAAACATTGCGAGGAAAAAAGTACCAAATTAATTCTTAACGCACATTATGTTTATTTTTACGTTAATTTTTCAGGGTTATAGTTTTTCATTATTTTGAAATAAAACATTTTACATTTTGGTGTTCCTAGAGTTTTGAAAATGCAAATACACATGTAGTTCTTACTGTGTATTCTAACGCGCAGTGACAAGGTTTCGAGTGTGTTATAGAAATTTGAACGTCCTGGATTTCTAATGGATATCATAAGGAAAACTACACTGAATGTAAATATAACGCTATAGATGTAGCTAAATCTGACCTACTGGCCCCCATTACAGGTTTGTTATAACGCTATAGATGTAGCTAAATCTGACCTACTGGCCCCCATTACAGGTTTGTTATAACGCTATAGATGTAGCTAAATCTGACCTACTGGCCCCCATTACAGGTTTGTTATATATAGAATATCACACTGCTGTTTTGATCTCAGCCCTGGTATCAGCCCGAGCGGTTGGTATCGGCCCAAGCCCGGAGGGTGCGGGCTGAGACCATCCGAGGGCTGATACCAGGGACGAGATCAAAACAGTGGTGTGATGTTGTTTATATCATATATCTAAAACCAAAGAAAAGAACAAACATTTAGATATTTTTTTAATCAAAAAGTTTATATAAACAAAATTAGAGTTATCTTTCTTTATTTCGATGTACTTTGAGATGTTGCTTGATGGCGAATATTCATATACAGAGAAAGATTCACTTGGTCTAGTCATTAAAAAGAATAACGTGTTAGCCCTGGTGTTTTGAAACATTTCATTTCGAAGCACATTATATATAACAAAGATTCAAAAAGGTAAAAAAAAAAACTTTAACAAATATTCTACTTTCACTTTTGATCGAATCGGGGTTACAACTTCTATAACGAATCGTTACAAGTTGAAAATATGAAATTTATAGTAACTGTTTGTTTTGTTAACGATATATATTAAATTAAAAATGGCACATTTACATGAAAACTTTGTATTGTCTTACTGTCAGAGCAAATAAACGTCCATTTTTTCAAAACGTGATTTGTTGCTGTCCTAGAAGTAAACAAGAGTTACCTCGCTTACGTCACAAGTGCTATCATTTGGCGCACTTTTTAAAAACAATTTTCTCAAAATTCTAATATAAATAATTTTTTTAAAGATTCTGGTTAAATTTTTCGATATATAATGTTTCTCTTGATTACTAAAATATGAATTTTACTCTTAATTCAACCAAATAAAACAGAACTAATGATTTGAAATTTGAGGGCGAGACAGCCCCTTGACGACGGGCCGAGACAGAGATATCTCAGCCCCGAGGGTGAGACAGCCCTACTTCCAAGGCGCTGTCTCGCCTAGTCCAAAACACCTGTATCAGGGCTGATACACTACTAGGTATATGATATAACGCTATAGATGTAGCTAAATCTGATCTACTGGCTCCCATTACAGGTTTGTTATAACGCTAATATAGGTTAACTTAGACATGCATATTGAACAAACAGCAAATTTTTAATAAATTGTTCATATTTTTTTCAGGCATAACCAGTGTGCCAAGTTTCAACAAAATTGAAAGTGATTTATCTACGAATACTTCTGCTTCATCTGTCTCGGAGTCGAAAGGATCCAAAGACGATGTAAAATTCTTCTAAAAACTTCTACAATAAAATTAATTTTTCGCGCCCCAACAGACACTGAAAATTAACAATAGTGCAAGGGGCAGATACATGTATCTAACCACTAAGAGAAGTTGGGTTTTACTCAGTGACGCAGTTATAGGGAGCTTTGAACAACTGCTAATTGTGTGTTTTTATTAGATTTTTATTTCCTTGCGATGGTATGTGTGAATGTTTAAGAGGAGAAGATATTATATGTATGTATACTTGTATTGTTGATTTTTAGAACTGTTTCAATTTGTTTATGTTAAAAAGTGCTAGATCAAGAGATTTTTATTTTAAAAATAATGCTTTTACCCTTGTACTGTTTGTATATGTTAGATTTAATAGTTACAGTGTACAAAAAATTTCCTGCAAAATATGACGATGCATGTAACTGATGCAGTAGATGCCCAAGCAGTTGCATAGAAATTCCTGGTGTATGCTACATGCAGCAAAGAACATTTAATGAATATTTCGTGTGATAACGTTAATATACATGTACATCAGGGACTATTTATTTCACTGTAGAAAGGAAACATACAGATATGTACTAATATACATACTGATATGAAACAAGTTACATCCAGGATGTGAATCTCAATTAGTGCAGGTTTTAGTACCTAATTGTGAAAATAAAATGGTGCAGGTTTTAGCAACCATTTAAGTAAAAATTAAAATATATCTGCTGTTGATTTGGCATTGAATGGCAAACTGCTTGAAGGAACAATGTACAGTGTATCCATGACTGTCCATTTCATAAAGCAACGAATTTAAATTCAAATAAAAAGTTTGGTATCGTTGAAATATAGCTAAAATCATGTTTTAACATAATTTCCTGGGTATGCATTGCTGCATGGACAAAGAGAAGCTGATGTGAAAATTTTAATGTTACATGTAAAACTGGGTGTTGTTTTACCTCTGCAATATTATATAATAAGAAAAATACTATTAGTTAATTTGTTTGGAAATCCCATTCTACCCAAAGGCTAAAGCCTTTTTTTTTTGAAATTCAAATATTAAAGATTTTTATCACATTTTTTTGTTTTACTTGTACATGTGAATTTAAAGTAAAGGCAGTATGAAATAACAAACATTAATTGTTTATTTTTTAAAAAATAAAAATGTAATATAACTTGCTTTGATTTGTTGGTGCTGTGTTTTTATTTTTTTTTCATTTTAACTCGACTGAATTAGAACACATTATTAGGCGCCTAAAGCAAATGTAGTCTTACAAAAATGTCAAACTGAACCAATGTTTAGTTTTTTGGGTATGTTAAGCATTGTCCATATAAATGCAAAAAAATTTTTGTGGAAAATACAATGTTTTCTTTTATATAGTCATAAAGTACTGATTTGTTATTCTATTTAATACATCTTCTTTTTGCATTAATATCTGACACAATTCAAGTTCTTTGTTTGTTTTATTTCTTTTGTTGATGAAGACAGCAACAGTGTTTTATTTATCACCCTGGTTGTAAAATAAAATGTCTACAACACTGAAAATTTCTTTGTCATAGTATTACTTTTATTTTTTACAACTTACTGGATATTTCATTTGATTCTTTGTTGCTTGTATGGCACAGTGCTTAGAGCATCTGTTTAGAGTAAGAAGTTTATCCTTGTGTCGCGGGTTGGAATCCCAATGTGGGATTTGTAGAGACCGGTCCTTTGGATGAGACCGTGTATCCTGTGATCATCAAATTTTGTCAGTTGATGCATCTTTGGTTTTCAGAAAATTTCAACCAAAAAGTAGGTCACTGTGACCTACTTTCGACATTTTATGGCTAGATTTAAATATCTTGGGTACTAATGGCTTAGAATCATTAAAATTTGTCAGTTGATGCATCCTGTGTTTTCAGAGCATGTTGACCAAAAAGTAGGTCACAGTGACCTACTTTTGACATTTTATGGCTATATTTTAGTATCAGGTACTTATTGGGTTAGAATCATCAAACTTAGTCATTCGATGCATCTTGGGTTTTCGAAGTATGTCAAAAAGTAGGTCACAGTGACCTATTTTTGACATTTTATGGCTAGTTTTATGTATCTCAGGTACTAATTAGTTTAGAATCATCAAATTTTGTCATTTGATGCATCTTAGATTTTCGGAGCATGTTGACCAAAAAGTAGGTCACGGTGACCCACTTTTGAATATTTCAGGTACTGATTGGCTTAGAATCATCAAACTTTGTCAGTAGATGCATCTTGGGTTTTCGGAGAATGTTGACTAAAAAGTAGGTCAAAAAGTAGGTCACAGTGACCTACTTTTGTCATTTTATGGCTATATTTAGGTATTTTGGGTACTTATTGGTTTAAAATCATTAAACTTTGTTATTTGATGCATCTTGGGTTCTCGGAGAATGATGATCAAAATATAGGTCATGGTGACCTACTTGTGAAATTTATGGCTAAATTTAAGCATTCTAGGGTACTTATTGGCTTAGAATTGTGAAACTTTGTCAGCTTATGCACCTTGGGTTTTCGGAGAATGTTGACCAATAAGTAGGTCACTGTGACCCACTTTTGAATATCTCAAGTACTTAATGGCTTAGAATCATCAATCTTTGTCAATTAAGGCATCTTGTGTCCTCTGAAAATTTCCATCAAAATGTAGGTCACCATAACCTACTTATAGTATTTTATAATTACATTATATATCTTCAGCCCTAACTGGCTAAGAATCATTAAACTTTGTCAGTTGATGCATCTTGGGTCTTAGGATAGATTGTATAATTTATCAGAAGAGCGATTCAAGGCCCTTGGGCCTCTTGTTTTAAAAATTATTTGTGAATCTGTACCTTTTTTCCTGTCACTTATTGACTTGAAGTTAATGAATTAATTTGTTTTGCGTGCCAGCACCAACTCCTATTGGTGACTTCTGTTTATGTGGTTGGATCAGAAGGACTAGTCTCGACATACTGCAGTGGATTGGAACGTGCAACATAAGGATCAGCTCCAGTCATTGCGAGTCTTGGAACTGATGCTCTAACCACTGGGCAACACAGATGACAGTTCCATATGAATAAAAACTTTGATGACTTCCTTTTCCACAATTTTTAAAGTACTTATTACACGTCATATGTACCCAGAGGCATTTGATGAGACTGTAGCTCTACTGCTTAAACTCAAGTCTGCATCTGATACATTAAAGCAAACAAACAGGTTTTATACATGGCTAGTTGCAAACTATATTCATGCAAACTATCATCTCAACCAAATTATCAATATGAAAAGCAAAGTTGCATTCCAAATAAATGTTCCAAAAGTGCACATCCCTAGATTCAGCATCTACAATACTACAGTAGTTTGTAAGGGCGAAACGATTACACGTGTAAACGGCGACGTTTCGATTATATGCTCTAAACGTTTACAGTTTGAGTAAACGTTTACACGAAGGTCATTATCAATGTCTATCAGAAATAAAGTTTAACACAAACAATTGTTTTATTTTATAATTTACAAGAGAAACAGCGTCTTTGACCATTTGACAAGCAACAATCTAAACCGGAAATATATTGAAAAAAAACATCTTATATACAGCCTGATACGGTATAACATATTTAATTCCGATTTCCGAGTTGCCAATACAAGCGATGTTTTACGACACTTGAAATATAAAACTTGATATATTTTGATTAAATAAAGATAATACATTTTTCACAAGTCTTTGAAAAGTGTTTCGATACAGTCAGCAGGTCTTGTTTTACTTTTTTCGAGATTAAAAGATCTATCTTTACAATTCTTTTTTTCTACGTCCGGTATGTAGCCAAACAAACCAAGCAGTTGGGTGACGAGGTAGAAAGTGAATGAGTTTAATGCACCTCAAATTCTTAAGTTTAAGTCATAATGACCAACAATGAAATTGTAATAACAACTCGTACTTATATTAAAGTGAAAGAATTGATTATTAAATTCGAGTTTCACGAGTAAGTAGCCATAAAAATCTAACATAGAATATCTCCCGTTTAAACGGCAACGTTTCGTTTATTGCTATCCGTTTAAACGTTTACAAAATTCAGTAAACGTTTCACCCTTAGTAGTTTGGTCAAGGTAAGTCCAATTGGACTTGTTAAAAAAAAAATAAACTGTTCCTCCTTCAAAATCTTGGCAAGTACTTGTACTGGTCTTTCTTGACTGTACTTCATCCAGAATTTCAATTAACTAAAGATGATGGAAAATAATTTTTGAACATGTAACTCAAAATAATATTATTTTATAAATTCAGACTTGAAACTCTTTTCACACCCTGAATATAATTTATCTCTCTTTAGACAAATGTCACACAATAACACACAATCAACATACATTTTAAATTATTTTATACAAATACAAACATGTTATCTTCATACAAATATTAGACCCCCCCCAAAAAAAAATCTAAGTCTTGTTATCAAAAAAGCTGAAACTTGACTGAATCCTGAGCGATTCCTAACCATAACATAAACTCTGCTAATTTTAGTCTGTCCTCAGCTTTCAACACATCAAACGGTTCAGTAAAAGTAATCTTCCCAGGATCCTCTGCTGTACCCCTGTCTCCATTGTGTATTCCATCTGAATGCTTCCGCGATATTTTCAGGAAGGCAAAAATTAACTACAAAAGAAAGAAGATGCCTGTGTGTATTCTTTTCTTGTTCAGTAAAACCGAGTTAATGCAAACACCTCTATAACGAATTTCAGCGAAGTGATTTTCATTCCCCCAGACTTTATTACGTGTTGTTAACTTGATGGATGAAGCAAATTTGTCCATCCCTTTGCACTCTGGTATAAGCATGTTTCACCGTTAACTTCAGGGAATGCTTTTTCCTCTTAAGCACCCGATCCCACCTTTGGAATATCCTGTATTTTTTTTCTAGATAAATCACTTTATGTAATCTTCTTTTCTTTTATTGTTTCATGAATGAGAAGTTCAAACTCTCTACACTATAGTTTATAAAAATTTACAGGTTCTTTAATGGTGATTCATCTAGAAAAACACTTTTATTAATAGGTTACTATTATCTTATATTTGTATATCTAAAAATTCTTACTTTAGTTCTGATACAGAGGACTCCAAGGGCATTGGGAAAAAACACAGAGTTCTGTGACTGTCCTAGAAGCTCTGCACCAAACTGTCCTAACACACTCTTTCCAACTAGCTCCTCTATATCAGTCACATTCTCTCTTAATGGGGCTTGCTTTGCCTACAATGTAAGGATAAAAATATTTAAATACAAACACATAATTTAAACAAAGTGTGCATCTGAAATAATGCTTTAATATCGGAATCTTTCCTA